ATCACAAGGCGAAGTAATGACTTTGCAAAACAACTGTGCACAAAACGTGCTAAAAAGGTTGTGTTTGTCCAGCTGGACGTTTTCCAGGACAATATGGGGCTTAATAACACGATTGTTTAGGTGTTATACAATTTTATTGTATCCATGCACAAGTATTAAATAAGATTTCGGCAATTCTTTTCTGGTTCACATGGAATACTTAAAACAAGAGTTTAAAGGATTGCACCTCAAGTTTTATTATTTACTGCTTTAATTAATCCTACGTCAATTCTGAATATGGGTAACCTGGTGTAAAATACTAGGTCACACATCCCAAATATGGAAAATCATTGTGCACACTCTAATGGCTATGGTTTAGTCCAAATATCCGGGATATTGGTCATTAAGGTTGTTTTGATGATTTCTAGGTCAAGATTGAATTTAAATATGGGTCAGTTGAGGTTAAAATCTAGTTTCACACATTGCATGTTCCTCTCCTTTCGCCGCCCTCGTGTCCACTGCTGGGTGCCTTCTGGGTGCCCTACTTGGATGTGATAGGGGCTACGTCCTGTGAACGTTGCCTTTACCTTGTTGATCTTTATTCTTGTTTTTTTTAAATGTGACCATAATAGCAAATTTATTACCTTTTTTAACAATTAATCTAAAATGAACAATTTGTAACGCGGAATTGGGTTTCTTGTTGCTATGTTTCTTTAGTGCATAAAGTATTTTTTCTATATTTTTCTTATGGTCATTGTGTTGTATCTATTTTAGTTGCATTTAAATTAACATTTCTGTTCTTTAGTTATTAACAATGGACAATTGTAAGAATTGTAAAAACTTGGCGCTTATTTATTTTACTAACCCTGTCTCGCCAAATAGAACATATTTGGGGTAACAACGATGTGTGTCGCGTCTACAACCAGGTTAACCTAACAAGTTAAGATTTTGCTTTTTATAGTTCCAATGCAGTACCCCTATGAGTTCTTCTTAGTCACATTTGCTTACATGTATGTCTTAATTATTGTGACATGTTCTATATGGTGACACGTTCTATGATGTCTTATGTTGTAAATTGTTTTCAGCGGTTTTAGCAGCATAAAATTTCAAGTTTAATTCATTAACCATCTTATGCTTACCAAGTCTTTGTCACGCACGTTTGTCCCCAAGTGATTTTGGAGGAAGTAGCCAACTAGTTTAGCATCGGTAAGGCATCGGCACACAAGATTTTACACGAACACCTAGGCATGAGCAAGGTAAGTGCCAGATGGGTGCCTAGACAGCTGTCCGCAGATCAAAAGGCAACCAGAGTAACCAATGCAAAAGAACATTTAAGTCGTTTTAATCGTGAAGGAGATAAGTTTTTGAACCGCATTATCACTAGAGATGAGATGTGGGTTCATTATTCCGAACCTGAGACAAAAGCTCAGTCAAAGCAGTGAAAACGAGCTGGTTCCCCACCTAAAAAGTTTAAGCTGTCTCCTTCGGCTGGCAAAGTCATGCTTGTTGCCTTTTGGGATTCACGAGGAATGATACTTACTCATTTCATGCCAAAAGGTCAAACTGTCACCGCCAAGTACTATTCTGAAGTAATTTCAGAGAAAAGCTGAAGCAAATGCGTCCAAGGTTAGCACAGAAAAATGTCCTCCTTCTTCACGATAACGCCCCTCCCATACCGCCGCAGCTACAGTGGAGGTTATCAACTCTTACAAATGGCAATTGTTGTCTCTTCCTCTTTATAGCCCAGACCTCGCCCCCTGTGACTTTTATTTGTTTCCAGAACTGAAAAAATTGCTTGCTGGAAAGAAATATTAGACTAGGGCGACTTTTATATCTGCTGTTACACAGTACCTAAAACATAGGTCTACGTCATGGTTCACAGCGGGAATACAAAAGCTCCCACGAAGATGGCAAAAGTGCGTAGACGTAGGTGGAGAATATTTTGAAAACGAGTAGAAAAGTTTTTTTTAAATGTTGAATGGTTTTCGAGAACGAGTCAAAAGTCCGGATATTTTCTGACTTCCCCTCATATACACGCCATCTCAATTTCTATTTGTGTGCATTTTTTCAAAAATGAATCAGTCACGGGGAGTGTGTAAGATAGAAAGGAAGAAATAGCTGCGATTTCACATGTAATGTTAAGTCATTCGCAGTACTTCGTCAAGAAACGTCATCCCTTTTACAGTTGGACACTACGTTTCCTCTTTTGATTACATCTGACGTACCAAGTGGGAGACTCTCTGATGGACAGATCTTATAGCCCTTTTGGACTGAATAGTCTACTGACTTGATTGTCGGGCCCTTGTAGGTGATTTTCTTGTTGCTCTGTCTTCCTTTAGGAAATTGAGTACTTTTGTTATGGTCATTGGGTTTACTTTTATATGTTTCTACATGATCATTTTGGTGTTTTAATTTCAAATTTCTTTGATTACCCCCCCCCCTTCCCCCGGTCTCCTATCCCCTTCCCCTTTGTGGGCCTATTATTATTTTCTTTGAATTCCTAATCAGTTACAAATTATTTATCATTCAATGATTAACCTGTCCTTGCTCTGTCTTTGCCCTGTCCTGTTTTTGTTTGGGGTCCGCCTGGGCTCCTTGCTATTGGTTCTTGTTGCTGGGTCATATGGGGGTTGCGTTCATTGAACGCCGCCTTTCCTTGTTGATCTTGTTTATCATATTTTACTTATTTAACCTTTTGTAACCATAACAACTGTTAGAATTTCACTTGACGGGGATTCATTTTATTTACATTGTTTCGTTTATAGGAACATGGTGGGGCTAAGAGCGAGTTTTGGTGCACCATTAACCGGTTTAAACTCCCCAGAAGTACTTGTGCTGCTGACCGTTCCAAGGCGGCGCCCCTCTGTGTTCCTCAGATGTATGTCTATGTTCTTTCATACTGTTTTGGTGACACTTTTGCCTGTGTCCCTTGTTGTTCTCTCGTATACGGTAAGTATCTTCCCCGTTGACCCAAGTTTTTATTTCTTGAATTCACCCCCCCCCCCTCTTCCCCGGATCCCATGTCCTTTCCCCTGTGCCCTTTGGCTTTGTGGGCCTATTATTCAACCACAATCATTTATTTGTTTTTGCAAATTATTTCCTATTATTCAATCATTTATTTGTTTTTCTTTGAATTCTGTATCAAAATTATTTATCATTTTAGTGATTAACCTGTCCGTGCTCTGTCTTGTGCCCTTTCCTGTTTTTGTTTGGGGTCCGCCTGGGCTCCTTGCCACTGGTTCTTGTTGTTAGGTCGTATAGGGGTTGCGTTCATTGAACGCCGCCTTCCTTATTGATCATATTTTCATAAATATCAAACTTTCTGCGCCCTTTAAAGTGAGTTGAATTGTATCGTATTTCTTAGTCTCTCATGCAATGAATGTAAGGATAAATAATGTAGTGACAGGTTAATGAGCGTGTAATTTATTTAACATTGGCACAATACGTTTTCAATCGAACTTCATTTGTAGGCAATTTAATTTGTTTCGCCAGATCAGAGACAAGCCACTTATGTATGATTGGATTTCAGTAATTCCCTTTTGATAGTTAGAGGCTATGATAACCTTTGTTAAAAAAAACAACATGAGCCATTCCTGCAAGTGCACGATAAATTTATGAATATGAATTAGACATTTTGTTTGTAGTATTGTCCTGTGGACTTCAACAAGAATGATATCAATTAAGCCCTTCTAATTGGTATTGTAAAGAGAACACATTTAAAGTTATAATGTGTGACACTATAGAGCTTATACAGTTGACATATGCAATTGCCCAGTAGACCTATCGTTTATTATCTCGACTTTTTTGAAAAAAGTAGAGGTATTGCTATAGTCGCGGCGGCGTTGCCGTTGCCGTCGGCAACTCATGTACAGACTCAATCAAACCGAGCCTGCAATTCTTATGTAATTTGTAGTGATTAATGCTTCCGAGGGATCACTTTGTTTCCAGAATTTTGTACCTGGATCATAACTTTTTTATTTCTTTGTGTATTGTCTTCATACTTGGCCACAACAACCCTTGGGACAAGACCGTTCAGTAGACTACACTAACCTTGACCTTTATCCATAAATGACCTTGATCTTCAAAGTCAAAAGTCCAAATCTTGCTTGTTCTTGCTATCATTGGCTGTAACTTTGTTATTTTTGAGTGGATTGTCTTCAACCTTAAACATAATAATTTCTAAGGGTAATCCCTAAAAATAACTAGAAAGACCTTGACCTTCACTCATAAATGACCTTGACTTTAATGGTCAAATTATTGAAATTTTCATTTTTTGGCTATTATTGGCTGTAACTTTGCTATTATTAAATGGATCGACTTCATATTATAACAGGACATTCTTAAGATAAATGCGTATACATATATATATATATATAGATGCGTATATATGACTTTGTGAAGAGTCTTTTTTGAAATACCTTTATTGGCGTTCGCGCCGAAGAGCGACGTCCTTTATGGAATGAAATAAGATTTTGTGAAAGTGCAATTGCAACTTCTTGGACATTTTCGTCGGTCATAATAGCTGGTCATTCCGATTGTTATTAGGGTGTTTGATTATCAAAAAAGAAAATTAACGATATGTACAATGAATAGTGAACTGAAGAATTTCGCAATGCAAACATATTTATTTTTGTTTGTATAAAATATCTATTATAATGATAAATGAAAATAAATATTTATTAAATATAATATGACTTAGCTTTCTACAATGAATATATAATTTTCATTCATTCCGTTGAAATGGACAGTTGCGATGTTGTAAGAAAATAAAGTTGTGACATTTGCTTATCTACTATATAGGTTCTTTATGAATGTACTTGCAATTTTAAATCAAGATATGATATTTGTTGTATACACTTACATTTTTATCATATACATATCATATACAAGTGTCAATGTTATATAAAAAAAATTGCTTTCATGGTGTACATAATTATAGACTGTATTTTGGTTCAAAATACAATGATAGGGAAATGTATCGTGGCGTATTATATTTTCGACGTTCTTATATTTTCGACGGTAGCCATTTCTATCCGAATATGTTATGATCTCGCGAGAATTTTTTAACTCCACCCCTTCCTGATGTAAACAAAATGATGCTGGATGCCGCTAAAATGTCAAAGTAACATAACATGGAAATTAGACAGGTAAACCTTTTATCACAATGTTTCTAATGGTCAAACACGTGTATTTTCTTATTTCCTAAAAATCTTTTGCTAAGAAACACAATAATATAAATAGTATTGCCTTAAAAAATTAAATGTGTTTCCATACGTCTGCTATGATCATCAATTCTCCCAAAGGTCACGTGATATGTCAAATTTTATGTACAGGGTGTTCCCAAAAGTTCATTGATTACACAATGTATGCTTAGGGTTCAGACTACTAAATTAATTTCTTCTTCATTTTTTTATTCAGATTAAGACCCACATCCGGGGCAAGTATAGGTCCTACACAGAAAGTGACCTGAATGAAGCTTACAGGACAGTAATAGAAGAAGGATTGCCTGTAGAGAGAGTTGCCAAAAGGTTTAGTGTGCCTGTCACAACCCTTAAAGATAGAGTTAAGGGGAGAGTTGATATTGACACTGTAAAATCAGGTCCCCAAACTATATTTAGTCAAGAGCAGGAAGCTTTCTTAAGTTTACTTAAATGAACATTTGAAAACTATGGCAGAAATTGGTTTAAGACACCAGACTCCGCATACTTTGTTTTTCCTGGAGCAAGAATGTTGCCAGCTTTATTGGAAGGCGCTACAGCAGGGTCTCAAGGTGATGTCTCAGAGTCAGGGTGGTCAAATACAGAAATATTTACTAATTACATGATTCAGCATTTAGAGCCATTACTGCCAAGTCGCACTAAAGAAAACCAAGTTCTGGTGTTGTACGATGGTCATAAAAGTCATGTTTCTCTAGGTCTTATTGAGTGGGCAAGATCACAACACATCATTCTTTTCGTACTTCCACCACATTGTTCACATCTATTACAACCTATAGATGTTTCATGTATTGCACCTTTGAGGTAGGATGGAATTCAGCATGTCATCAATACCTGAGAGAATATGTTTGTCGTGTAGTTACGCGCTATGAAGTTGGTAAAATAGCAAGCAAAGTATACACAGCAACCCTCACACCTGTCAATATACAGTCTGCCTTCAAACGCTGTGGTTTTTACCCATTTAACTCTGATGTTGTAAGTGATGCTTCTATTGCACATTCTTTGAGTTTTCAAACTGAAATCACTAATTCATCTGAAATTGTTGATGGTAGTAAAAAAGGCCAAGATAAGCTATCAATTGCATCAGATGCTAGGTCATTTCTAGAAAATAGAGGAAGTAAAGTTTTGCAAAATGTTCCACTTGCTAAGACAAGAAAGACTTTAAGTAAGGTTGTTGGAGGGAAAGCGGTAACTGAAGACCAAGTGTTTGATGCAGTTAAAACACATATTTCAGACCAAAAGTCAAATAAGTCCAAGCGTATCAACACCCCTGTTGTTAGTACATCTGGTATTCCAAACAAAATAAAAAAGTCAAAAGACTATGTTGTTGCTAATACTGACTCGGATGTTCAGGAAAATGACATTCTAGATTCTGACAAGTGTATTGTTTGCAGGCGTCACAATGTAAAAGACATTGACAAATTGCCATATTTAACTATGTTAACTGGGGATGTTGTGACAGGTGTGATGGGTGGGTTCACCTGAGGTTTTGCAGTCCAGTTAGAGTGCTAAGAAGGAATGACACTTTTCTGTGCCCTTCTTGCTCTAATGAACAATAGACTTATCTGTTAAGTTATTTTATATAAAAAAATGAAAAAAAAATGAAAGGAAAAATAAAACTTCAACAGTTAACGTTTTATTATGTTGTTGGACACTACCATTATTTTCAAAAATTGTTCTACATTGTTTGGAATAAGTTGCTTTCTTCTTGGACTTATAGTATTTTACTGATATACAGTGTGAACAACTTTTTTGACCACCCTGTATCTTAATTTCCTCGACCAATGAAAATCGTCGAAAATATAAGACGTCATTTTTCTCAGAAACCAAAATGGCTGCCTCCATAAAACTAGTGTAAAAAAGTAAATTGGTATGTTTTTGTATTGAAATTTTCAAATTATAAAGGAAAAAGGTAATTTTAGTTGATGGAAATATGAAATATGCATTTATTACCTTTTTACATTTTTGCCGACACGAAATGTCCTTGCACCGTCGAGAATATAAGAAGCCAGGATATGAAAATGAAATTATCTTATCCGTCAATTAATCGCGCTATTCGCGATTTTTTTTATTAATAATGTGGGTTATTATGTATGTTTATGCTTTGAATTAAACTTCCCTGAGGCGGGGGATGTTTGTAACTCTGTTACAAATTCTTGTCATTATTCATGTCACCCTAGATTATTGTTTTACCAAAATTCAAGAAATAGGGAGTAATTGATATCCCAGACTACAGTAAATGAGAATCAATTTAGTTTTGAATTTCTTTAACCAGATATTAAAATTCATCCTATAAAATGATTATTGAATCACTTATATCTTAAAATACAGTTATTGTTATTCTTTATAAAATGTGTTAGAATGAAAACGTCTTAATCTGAATAACTTGACAGAAACACAATCTAACAACAATTTTAAAATATCGATATAACTAACATAAAATGTATATATATTATGATTGCGATTCAAGCATTACTACATGTATGTGTTTAAAGCAATTGTTTAATTTCTAAAGTAATTTTTACATTACAGATATGGCAATAATACAGATGTAATAAATCAAGAAGTAAACAAAATGGCAACAGGAGGTCAACCACAGACGCCAGACAACCGTTTATATTTGTTTCGGTTACAAATACTAGTCGTTGATGGTGGCTTGCTGGTATTGAGAAATATACTGGACCAGTCCCTGACATATCAATGCATAACGTTCAGTGCGTGCTTGAATCAAGAAAAGTCAACAATAACACATTTGAAAAGCCGCGGTGTTATAACCCAGGTCCAATATGACCTATTGTTTCCAGCGGGTGGTAAAGTCCCAACTTCGTCAGATTTGGACATCACGCTTATTATTTGTCTTCTTAGAAACCTGAAATGTTTTGGATTAAATAAAAAATTTGACTGGAGGGCAACACCAGCTACAACCGATGTTACAATGGAAGCAGACATATGTCGGTTAAAGGAGTTCCGAAATAAAGTAAGTGTATTATGAAAAAGTCAATACGTAAGGCACTTTTAAAGTCCTGCCTTAGCAATACAGAAGAATAAATCTTAATGTATATTGGCAATATAAAAATCTACGTGTATTAAAAGTATTGATATTCTTCCGAAGTTTAACTTAAAAATAATTCAATCAATTGTCATACTTAAAAGTGATAGAATAATGCATCTCTTATTGTCTAGTCAAGAACTTAATCACCGTGATGCATATCTCCACGATACTTGTGCAGTCGTGCTCAAAAGGTTATAACATGAACATCTTCAACATGAATATTTTTGAAAAATTTTATCCGACATGTCCGGTGCAATTTTTCACAGCTATCATTTCTGTTATTGAAAATCCCGGGCTTTCATTTATGTCGTGAAATGATCCATCATGGCATTATCCGAGTTGTTATTGCTTTCATCAAATAGGCTAAGATATTACTATTTTCATAAAAATAATCCAAGATAAAAATTATGTCATGAAACAATCCTAGATATAACAGATGTTAAGAAACAATCCGAAATAAAACTGCCATCATTTAACAATCCGAGATAACACTGCCGCCATGAAACAATTCGAGAAAATACTGCGAGGAAGAAACAACCATTGATATTACTTCTATCAAGAAATAATCCGAGATAAAAACAGCCGTCAAGAAACAATCCAATATAATACTGCTAACAAGAAACAATCCGATATAATACTGCAGTTATGAAACAATCCGGGATATTAATGCTGTCAAAACACCATCCAAGATAATACTGCCGTCATAAAACAATCCCAGATAAAACTGTCGTCAGGAAAACTATCAGAGCTAATACTGCCATCATGAAATAATCCGAGATAATACGTCCCTCAAGAAACAATCCGAGAAAAGACTGCTACTATGAAAGAATCCGAGATAATAATATTGTCATGAAACGATCCGAGATAATTCTTCCCTCATGAAACAATATGAGACAATACTGCAGCCATGAAACAATCAGAGCTAATGCTGCCGCCATGAAAAATTCCAAAATAATAATATTTCCCTCATGAAACAATCAGATAAAATACTACCAACATGAAAAAAATCAAATATAATACTGGCTTTAACATAGATATTTTTAAAATTTTTATCCGATATTTTGGATGAAATTTTTCAAAGTATCATTACTGTCATTAAAATGTCCGGGCTTTTCTTCAAAACAATGCCGTCATGAAACAATCCCCGAGGTAATACTGCCTGTGCCATCATAAAACAAATAGCTGTAATTCTTCCGCCATGAAACAGTCCCTGAGATAATACTTCCGCCATGAAACAATCCATGGCATTGTTGGAGTCATGAAACAATCGGAAGTAATACAGTCGTCATGAAATAATCCGAAATATTACTGCTGTAATTAAAGAGTCCGAGATACTTCAGCAGTAATAAAAAATCCGAGATATATCTGCAGTCATGAAACAATCCGGGATATTACTGCAGTCATGAAACAATCCGGGATATTACTGCAGTCATGAAACAATCCGGGATATTACTGCAGTCATGAAACAATCCGGGATATATCTGCAGTCATGAAACAATCGGAAATATTACTGCAGTCATGAAACAATCCGGGATATTACTGCAGTCATGAAACAATCCGGAATGTTACTGCAGTCATGAAATAATCTGAGATATTACTGCAGTCATGAAACAATCCTGGATATTACTACAGTCATGAAACAATCCGGAATATTTCTGCAATCATGAAACAATCCCAGATAATACTGAAGGAAAAGCTCCGAGATAATTCAGCAGTAATAAAAAATCCGAGATAATACTGCAGTCATGAAATAATCCAAGATATTATTGCCATCTTGAAACAATGTGAGATCTTACTGCATTCATGAAATAATCCGCGATAATACTGCCATTAAGAAACAATCCGAGATAATATTGCACTCATGAAAAAATCTGAGATAATTCCCTGAGATAATCCGACATATTCCAGTCGTCATGGAATAATCCTAGATATAATATTGTCATGAAGTAATCCGAGATATAACTGCCTACATGAATCGATCCGAGTTATTACTGCTTTTAAGAAATAATTCGAGAAACTACTGCATTCACAAAATAATCCGATAAATTTCTATAGACATGAACTAATCCGAGTCATGAAATAATCAGAGATACTGCTGCAGTCTTGAAACAATTTGAGATGTTTTTACTGATATTTCTGTCGTCATGAAATAATCCAACATATAACTGTTGTCATGAAATAATCCAAGTTATTACTGCCGTCTTGAAACAATCAGAGCTTTTACTGCCGTCATGAAATAATCAGAGATACTACTGTAGTCTTGAAACAATCCGAGATGTTTTGGCAGTCATGATTTGATTTCTGGTGGTATGGACGTGGAAAACTGCAAACTTCAACATTTCTTTTCAATTTCAAAATGGATTGTTATCATGATTTAACACAAAAGCCCTTTTGACAAAATCTTTAAGCATACCATATTTAACTTGAACTTGACTCATAAATTAGCTTGACCTTTATGAACAAACGATGTACTTTTGTACTTTTTCCAAGAAATAGTTTACAATTTACTTGGTATGGGCTTTTAAACTTCGTCAGTTATTAAATCTCATTCATAAAAAGTTAATTGTGATGTTCTCTGCATATCGTACTCTGTGGGTTTTATACCCTGCACTTTGTCGAACAGAAAACCTGTATAACTAAATACAAGTACATGTTTACATAAATTTGGAATAATTTACATTGTACCGTTCTAATTACTGGGGACGTTAAAGAGGTCTTAAATCTATGTGTACAACAAATCTGCATTACTTTCATTTTCAAAGTTATCAATGCCTCCCTTGATAAAATGGTATGTGTTGGTTGTTTTGATTTGGAAGGGGTTAGTTGATTGTCTTGAGATGGGAAGCCTTTTGATTCTTATGATTTCGGTAATTTGGGCTCTTCTTTCAGGTGAACCATATTGAGTTTTTATTTCAGATAAGTCATATATCAACAACGACTGCAATACAACAAAATGATTTTACAGCTTGGTGGAATGATATTGAACAGGTGAGGACATTTCGATTTCAAAGTACTATTATTATCTTTGTAACCTTTCAACCAACTTTTCAAATGAAAACAGGGTATTATATACGGTAAGTTATGTATTCTTAAAAAATGTAAACATCTAATGGGATATAAATTTAAATTTCATGATATAATCCATACAAAACATGTAGCGTCAAACATTTATACGTATATGTGTTTGACGTACATGTTTGTCAAAATAAGAAAAGAATTTTAAACGAGCCAATTTCCCCATGGAGACATTTTAGTATTGAACTTATTTACAGCACTTCTCGCCCTATTTAAGGAACACCATTGAGGTTTTTAGACATGAGGGGACTGGAAATAATATTTCGGATTATTGTTCCGTTTAAAGTAAGTCTCAGTTGCTTCCAGAACAAATATTTTAACTGTAAAACGACTAAATATTGAAAAAGCAACGGCAAAAAAGCAAAATAAAATTTTGAGCTTCCTTTGAGATTATTTCTTAACATTTTTTCTTTGTTAAAGTGCCCAATTTGATCTATGTAAGAATTACGTCCTCAGTGTTGCAGAGTTGCTTTAATTTTAAAATAGTTTTATAAGTTTTGGAAATCTCCAAACACGATGTGAATTATTTTGACTTATCTCTAAGAATGCTTGGTGTATGTAGACTGAAAATAAACATTTACGCTTTTCAAGTATTCGTACTTTAAGGTATTACCACCATAATGGGCACTATAAGGAACTTAAAAAATTGACATCATAGGTCAGATATATACCTTAAAGTACACCTGTATGCAAAATGTAAACAAAGTTTACCGTACGAAAATCAAGATATGGCCACTTTTCTAAACTCAAGCTAGGATGTTATGAGGGCCCTTTTTTAGAAATGAGGAACCCTTAAATAATCTGCAATAACATTCTAATGAAAGTTGTTTTCCCATTAATTTTTGGTAAGAAACAAATAGTACCATTCAGCTAACAATCCACATAAGCAAAATTATGGTTTCTACTTAAAGTTTATGAAATCTGTATAAAAATATTACCCTACCCCACCCATTTTTACCACGTGTCTGACCATTTTCCTACTTAGAGACCTAATTTAAAAAATCCTTAAAATTTAACCAAATGAGTGCCTATTTTCAAAGTTTCCTTAAATTTGTAAAGAAGTATATTGGTTGATCTTGTAAATTATGAAATACTTTTACCGGCTAGTTTTGATTTTATTACACTTTGAAAATATCAGGTGCCATATTTATTACTAGATTTAGCATAATTTAGCCAATAAATACCTATATAAATAAAAAAAAATCAAAGTTAAACACTTTTTTCTTTCCAAATGGGACATGAGAGACACATAAATAATGTAAAAAAAAAGAAAGAAAAAAGTTGACCCTTCTGGGGACTGAACCCACAGCCCTCATTTTCAGTTAACAGTAGTTTAGTTAACAGTAGTTCTAGCATATTTGAATACTCTACGAAGCGGAGGTAATGCATTAGGATGGTAATACCTTAGGAGCGTCACGATTTTCAGGTGTCAAGTGCTTTCAGTGTTGCGTTCATTGAACGCCGCCTTTCCTTGTTGATCTTGTTTATCATATTTCAAGATTTTCAGGTGTCAAGTACTATCTGTGCGTCACTTTTTTCAAGTGTTTAATACTTTCGGTGTTTACTGCTTTTCAGATGCCAAGTACTTTCAGTGTTTCACGATTTTCAGGTGTCAAATACTTTCAGTCTTTCACGATTTTCAGGTGTCAAATACTTTCAGTGTTTTCAAGTGCCAAGTGCTTTAAGTAATTCATGATTTTCAGTTGTCAAGTACTTTCGGTGTTATACGATTTTCCGATTTCCAGTTATTTCAGTGCGTTACAATTTACAAGTATCAGTATTTCCAGTCCTTTGCCATTTTCAAATATCAATCATTTTGGTGCGTTACACATTCAGGCTTCCAGTTATAAACATGCATCACAATTTTTAATTACCAGTAATTCCAATATGTCATAATTTTCATATTTCGGTAATTTATTGCTTTAAAGGGTTTTAAAATTTTCAGGTTCCACGTCTATTCAGTGCATCCCAATGTTCAAGATTCAAGTAACTAAAAAAAATTCGCTGTTTGAGGGTTTCCAGTATTTCTAGTGCGTCACAGTTTTCTGGTTTTGCAATACTTTTGAGTTCTTCTAGATTTTCAGGTTTTAAGTACATTCAATGCTGCCAAATTTCGATGTTTTTAGTAATTACAGTGCTTCCAATTTCTCAAGTTTTCCTGTACATTCATTGCTTTACTATTTCAGATTTCCGATACCCTCAGTGCTCTTCGAAGCTTTCAATGCATCATGAGTGGTCAGTTTCTAGTATTTTCAGTGTTTTAGTGCTTCGCGTTTTTTAGGTTTCAAGTACTTTGAGTGCGTCACATAGATAGCTTAGATATTGTCCTAGAAACATAGTTTAGAAGACGTCTACCAAGTTATAACCCTGGTATCATAAATTTGCCACACCTGGGGGTCATGGAATTTCCTTACTGGGGCTTGAATTTAAACGCAACCAGTGGATCAACAATCGTCAATATACAGTCATCAGTGACTTTACTAGCAACCATTGTCTTCCATAGCAACTGATGACTTCCAAAGAAACCCAGTTATTTCTGTAGCAGCAATTGACTTTCGAAAGTAATAAGAGACTTCCGAGGATATCACTGACTTTCCATAGCAGCCAGTGGCTTTAATAGAAACCATTGACTTTCTAGAGTAACCAGTTATTTCAAAAACAACCATTTATATTCTGTAGCAACAGGCCAAATCCATATAAGCCGTTTTTTTCCTTAGCAAAACTTTAGTTTCTTAGCAACAAGTGCTTTTCTTCAATTACAGATGTTCCATAGCAACTAGTGATTTCCAAAAGCAAATGAATTTTTATCAACCTATCATATCAATAGACTCCCATTGCATTCATTGTTTCCAAAGCATACAGTGACTTTCCATATTTCCATATCAACCATTTAATTTCAAAGCTACTAATAACGTTCCATAGAAACTATCATCTTTTAATCAACCATTGACTTCATAGTGACCACTAACATCCCAATGGTTTCTGTAGCGACTTGTAAAGTCTTTAATAACTAATGATTTGTCTTAGCAATAACAACATGTAACCATTTTTACATTTGCACGATTTCAGATGCAGATATGACCTTTGTGATATCACTATAAGATTTAGACTTTATATCTGCTTTTCATTCATAGTAAACAGTATTAATTGTTCCTTGTCATGAAGAGTATTTATAATAAGCAAGCGATGAACGCGCCATCATTACACTCTTGTTCAGCAACTTTGTTTCCTATGTCTTATCTTTCTATAAACATATAATTTGTCGGGTCAATATCGTCGATAAACACTTAAAAAGATTACCAAATACCGAAACTTAAATGATAAAGTTGTTGTTATTTAAAATTCCGGTTTTAGATACTTGTTCGTCGAAGTTCCCCAGCTTTGAATATTCAGCAAACAATTGCCGAATTCAAAACTTGCCCTCTTGATACGGAAGAAGAGAGAAGGATACAGGAAGAAATTAAAAAATGGAAGGACTATGAAGCCGATGTTGACCGACTGAAACAGCAAATGGCAGACATGAAAGAAAACCTTAATGAGATGAAAAGACGGCAAGGGGCAGGTTAGTTTTTTTAAGCTTCATTGTTTTGTTGTTTCATGAATTGAACATGATTGAGATAGATATCTTAAGAAATGCAGAGAAAATGAATATACAAAAATAGAAATAAATGCTATGAAACTTTTATGGATTATAAGTTTGCTTGTTAATAGCTATAATTCTTAAAGGACATTCTATAAATAAATATTTTTAGCTTTTTGATCCTGACATTTCCAATCCGTGATAACTATTAAGTCGATTATTTTTTAGATTTTTTTGACAAACTTGACAGATATCCGCTTGCCGGTTAAGCATGGTACATAATTCCTTCCCAAACAATTGCCAGAAATATCGTTAATATCACAGTGTTAAAAACGAAAATTGTCTATTTCGAAGACTTGATAAACATTTGAAATGTCATTACTTTATATTCAATTTCTTACACTTTGTAAATATTACTAATTTGATATCTTGCCGTGAATAATAAAAGTAAATCTACCAATTCACGGGGAGTTGCATTTCTTTTTAATATATATTTTAAATATTGATTATAAATTCATAGTAAACATATTGATAACAAAGGAAACTTTATTGTTTTGGACTTAACTTTTGAGGAAAAAAAATAACACTTATAAATCTTTACGGTCCAAATACAGATCAACAATTTTTTTACAGTGATCTGTTTGATACCATTGACAGAATAGGAAACGATTCTTATATCTTGTGTTGCGATTTTAACTTAGTTCTAGATCCGGAAAAAGATTATTACAACTAAAAATTTGTCAATAATAATAAAGCTAGACATTTCATAGTACAAAGTATTGATCAGAGAAATCTTTTTGATCCATTCAGAGATTTTTTCTAAATCTGAACAGAAACGCATGGCGTAAACCGACACCACTCCAATAAGCACGCCTTGATTTTTTCCTGGTGACTGAAACAATATTTCCTCCTGTAGAAGATATCATATTGAGACAAGCTATCAGTCAAATCATTCAATTGTTATAATGAAGATAAAGTTTAATAATTTTATACTCGGAAAAGGCATATCGAAACATAACAATTCCCTTTTAAAAGATACAGATTATTTAAATAAAATGCAGACAGACAAGATTAGCTGATATTAAAAAAACAGTATGCTTTACCTATATTTAACCTTGAAAATATATCGGTAATACAAAATGATGACATTCAGCTTACGATAAATGACCAGTTGTTTTCAGAAACACTTTTAATGGAACTGAGAGGGACAGCTATATCTTACAGCAGTTATCGAAAGAAAAAAGAAAGAAATGATGAAAAAATATAATAAATGAAATACAAAATCGAATCAAACTTGTCAGACAATAAACTTTACCTATCGCAAGAATTGCAAAATAATCTAAAAAATCTTAATAAGGTTATCTTATAAGGTCAAGAGCTGAAGAGCATAATGGACGTTAGAAGGAGAAAACCCTTCATTTTTTGCGTTTAAGAAAAACATAGTTACAAAACTAAGACTATATTTAGGTTTCAAAAAATGACGGTAGTATTTTAAATGATCATAAGTTAATATTAAAAGGAATTGAAGATTTTTATAGACCTCTTATCAGCAAAAAGTCATCAAATGATGCAAATGATCAGTTTTTACTATTTGTGGAAAATATTGAAGCACCGGTTTTAAGTGAATCGGAATCCAATGTATTAGAAGGCTCTAAACGTTATGAAGAATCAAGTAAAGTTTTACTAAATATGACAAATGACAAAAGCCCGGGGACATCAGGCTTTAGTGCAAATTTTTATAAGGTATTCTGGAAAGATTTAGGTCTTTGTGTTGTAAGAGCTATCAATAATGCTTATACTTCAAATAAATTGTCAGTATTCCAAACACAAGGTGTAAGAACATGCATTCCAAAAGAAAATAAACCTAAACAATTCGTGAAAAATTGGAGACATCTAACACTTCTTAATACGGTATACAAAATTGCTACATGTTGCATAGCAAATAAAATAAAATTTACTCTAGATAAACTAATGAATAATGATCAAACAGGTTTTATCAAAGGAAGATATATTGGAGAAAATACCCGTCTTATTTGTGATATCATGCAGTATACTGAAGAAAATAACATTCTTGAACTCTTCTATTTAATAGATTTTGAAAAAGCTTTTGATTAACTCTCTTGGTCATTTGATCAGAAAACTCGTTTTGAATTTTGGTCCATCTATAAAAAAAATGGTTTGATATTTTATATAAAGATGCAACTTCTGCTGTTAATCAATGTTGTTTATATCAAATTTTGTAAAAATAGGTAGAGGCTGCCGACAATGAGACCCTCTCGTTATATTTTTATATAATGTGCTGAAGTTCTAGCTTAAAAAATAAAAAAAAAATGACAAGATTATTAAAGGAAAAACATTTACAATGTAGAACATAAATTGTCATAATTTGCAGATAACACAACAATGATTTTAGTTGGATCAAGTGCGTCTTTAAATAAATCTTTGGAAATCTGTCAGATTTTGCACAACTATAGGGACTTAATGTTAATTTTGATAAAACTAAGGTTGTGTGGATAGGGAAAATGAAATATTTGTAAAACAGTATAAAAACAAGATGGAAATTGTCTTGGAATCAACATCAATTTAAAATGTTAGGCATAAATTTTCATGTTGACTTAAATAAAATTATATATTTAAACTATAGTGAAAGAATATGAAATATTCGAAAGGTTATTCAAAACTGGAAAAGAAGAATTCTCACATCAATAGGTAAAATTGCTATTGTAAAATTTATTTTGATTTCATCTCTAAATCTTTTATTCATTTCACTACAAAACCCTTCTGAAGATGTAATAAGTGTATTAAATAAAATGTTTTAGGATTTTATTTGGGAAAGACATGTTAGAATTAAATCTTCCGTTATTGTAAAACACTATGCTGAGGGTGGCTTGCAGATGATTAATATTTCTGCCTTTATCCTGACATTAAAGATAACATGGTTTAAAAGAATAATCTCAAATGCTAGTTGGAAAATCATTATTTACGACAAAATAGATATGCAAAAATGTTTTCACTGCGGAAACCTTTACTTTGATAAACTTGCAAAAGAAACAAACAGTCTTTTTCGGAGGGACACCTTTACAGCCTTATCAAAATATATAGAATTAATTCCAATAGAAAAATCATTCTTTCGGAAAACATCGTTTATTTTTTTAACAATAACATATAAATTGGTACAAAAAGTGTATACTTAAAATCGTGGTTCGATGCTGGTGATTATACGTAGAGCAACTTATAGCATCTGATGGAAAGTTCTTATCTTATAATGAATTTATTATTAGATACAAAGTTCAATCTATCTTAATTTTAAGTTAAGCAATTAAAAAAAATATAACATAATCTCAAACACCCCACAGATAAGCATTGGCCCAGACATACCGCTATACTTTAAAGACTTTATATCAGACATAAATGGAGCAAAAAATTTCTATAATATATTAAATAAAAATAAATCAAAGCCCACATGTTTCGAAAAATGGACAAAAAAAACTTAATTTAGCTTTAAGTGAAAATAAATGGAAAATTATATTTGAACTGCCTTTTAGAATTACAAAATGAAATGGTTGAAATGGTTCCAAACAAGACTTTTACAAAGGATTATTGGAGCCAATCATCTTTTTCACAAAATTAAGTATAAAGAAAGTCCTCTATGTTCTTTTTGAAGTAAGTATGATGAAAACATTGAGCACCTATTTTGGCTGTGTCCCATTGTCAAAAGATTTATAAATGACTTTCTTATAATAAATGAAGAACCTTTTTTATCTTTGGGTATAATGGTTATGTGACGGAGTGAATAAATGGGGTTACCCCATCCTGAAAAAAGTAAATCTACATTATTTCTAGGTTTTTAGTCACCATTAATTCTAATAGAATCTGAGAACTTGCCTAAGAATCTATCAATGTAACCAAAAATTCATAACATTTGTGAGTAGCTTGTCAAAACATACATTCACATCAATCAATCTCAGGGTTGATACGAGTGATGAATAACTATTGAATGATTCTTACAATATGGAATATATTTTTTTCAGCTTTGTGTCTTAAACATGCTCACACAAATGTTCCCACAAATGCCTTTAAATGAACTGTCAACGTTTGACACTTTGTAATCAACCATATAACCCATTCCAATTGGAAATCCTTATTCATTTATTATTTACATAAAGTTTTTTGTTATTTGTGACTCATGTACATAAATGAAGGATACCCTTGAATGTATATACTTTAAATGGTGTAATTTCATTGACACACTCCGCACAACAAACGAAAGTTGTAAGAGGCGGAAGGTACCCGCTTCTTTTCTGAAACTGCTGAACAAATTTTAATGAAACTTGAAAAAAAATCCTTGATTTCTTCTTATGCATATAGTAAGAAATATGAATTGACCAATCAATGACGTTGACCTTTATACATAAATCCTTAAATTTACTGAAATTGGTTATAATTGACTATAACTTGTTAATTATGTTTGCATTATTCGTAATTTGACATAATAACCGTTTTAACAATACCCCCAGGCCGACATAACTTGATGTGATCTTGACCTAAATTTAACGTTGACCTTAATGATAAAAATATCGTATTGAATTTTGCCCAATTTGGTCATAATTTTGTTAATAACGAGTGAATTGAATGATACTTATCCAAATAGGTGTTCATGTGCAAATCCAGTTTTGGTCTTGACTTTAAAGGTCAAAATATTCAATTTTGCTCAAATTGGCTAAAATTTGTTTGGCCAATATCTTGGGTATATCCCTTTTTAAGTTAATACCTTCAAGAAGGTCAAACTAAACAATTAATAATCGATTATCTCATGCTTTTTGTGTGATATGAAATGTTGACAGTATTAACGATTTTTTTAAAATTATTTTTGATGGTTATAATATCTATTTCTTCCGGTTGGTCAATTCCTATGTTTAATATTTAGTTTAGCCGTGCTACATAAAACAATTTGTACGGAAATAAAAATGATGTATTAGATA